ATTTTTGTTTCCTAGCCATCTCACTTCTAAGCTTTTCTACATATCTTTTTCTTTTCTCAAATTGCACGTAATGCAACCGAACTCTAGACTAAATCATATAACTTAAACAGATCTTACTTTGTGTTAAGCCCTATTGTTTTGGTTTTTTTGAGGGAGATTAGCCCTGAGCTAACATCCATGCCCATCTTCCTCTACTTTATATATGGGACAACTGCCACAGCATGGCTTGATAAGTGGTACATGGGTCTGTGTCCAGGATCTGAACTGGTGAACCCCGGGCCTCTGAAGCAGAACGCAAGAAAACTTAACCACTATGCCACTGTGCTAGCCCCTATAATAGCTGTTTTTAAATCCCTTTCCTCTTAATTCCAACACCTGGATTATCACAAGGTCTTTTCATCTTGACTCTCTGAAACTTGCTTCATAACTTTATTTCTATAGGGAAGGAAAAGAAACATATGCCAAAAAACAGCATCACCCCATTTTTAAAACTAGGCAATACATTAAAAATCTAGAATTTTTCACTAGTATAATTTGGTGAATAAAAAAGTTGATTGCTTGAAAGAGAGAGAGAGATAAGTATGTAGATAGATAGATAGATAATAGATTTTAAGTAAAAATGCTATCAAACTATGCATACTATTTTAAGACTTTTTTTTCCACTGAACATATTTTAACATGTTTTCAAATCAACAAATTTGCATTGACCTTGTATTACTTCAATGGATGCATGGTATTTCATTATACAGATGTATCATATTTGATGTAGGCAATCCTGATTGTCTTTACTTTTTAACTTTTATTACTGATCCTGCTGTGAAGCTTGTTTCCTCACATGTATCTTTTTTTTGCCTCGTCTCATTCCTTCTCCAAAATTAAATTGTTTCTTTCTGTATTTTTTTATTGAGATATAATAAACATACAACATTACATTCATTTTGGATGTACAACACATCACGACTGAGTATTTGTATATATTGCAAAATGATTACCACAATAATTCTAGTAAACATCCATCACCATACATAGTTACAAAATTTTTTTCTTGTGATGAGAACTTTCAAGATTACTCTCTCAGCAACTTTCAAATATGCAATATAATATTATTAACTGTAGTCACTATGCTGTATATCAGATCCCCAGGATTTATTTCTTTTATAACTGGAAGTTTTTACCTTTCAACTCCCTTCACCCATTTCACCCACCCCCACACCCCACCTCTGGCAACCACCAATCTGTCCTCTGTATCTGTGAGCTTGTTTTTTTGTTGTAGTTATTTTCCATATATAAGTGAGATCATATGGTATTTGTTTTTCTCTGTGTGGCTTGCTTTACTTAGCATAATACCCTTAAGTGCCATCCATGTTTTCACGAGTGGCAAGATTTCATTCTTTTTTATGGCTGAATAATATTCCATTATATATATATATATATATATATATATACACACACACACACACACACACACCACATTTTCTTTATCCATTCATTCATCAATGGACACTTAGGTCGTTTCCATATCTTGGTTGTTGTAAATAGTACTGCAGTGAGCATAGGGGTGTATATATCTTTTTCAGTTCATGTTTTAATTTTTTTCAGATAACCAGAAATGAAGTTGCCGGATCATATGGTAGTTCTATTTTTAATTTTTTGAGGAAACTTTATACTGTTTTCCAAGAGGATGCACCAATTTACCTTCCCACCAACAGTACACAAGTGTTCCCTTTTCTCCACATCCTTGCTAACACTTGATATTTCTTGTCTTTTTGATAATAGTCACTCTAACAGATGTGAGGTGATCTGTCATTGTGGTTTTGATTTGCATTTCCCTGATAAATAGTGGCGTTGAGCATCTTTTTACGTACCTGTTGGCCTTCTGTATATCTTCTTTAGAAAAATGTCTATTCAGAACCTCTGTGCATTTTTTAATTGAATTGTTTGGCTTTTTCTATTAGTTGTATGAATTCTTTATATGTTTTAGATATTAACCCCTTATCACATATATGATTTGAAAATATTTCCTCCCATTCAATAGGTTCTCTTTTCATTTTGTTGATGGTTCCCTTTCCTGTTCAGAAGCTTTTTAGTTTGATGTAGTCTCACTTGTTGATTTTTGCAAAATTAAATTTTTGAGGTAGAAACTTGGATTGAAATAGATGCCAATTCTTAAAGATTTTGATATTTTTTCATTTGCTTCCAGAAAATGATTTATGTTCTCACCATCAATGTACAACCTTTTCATCTTTAGCAGTGTAATAATTGAAACTTAAATAGTTCCTTGTTTTCTTGATTTGCATTTCTGACATTACAGATGACATTGTTTCTTCTTTGAATTATCTGTTCTTTTTTTAAAAATTTTTTTAATTAGAGGGTTCATCTTATTCTAATTCATATGAAAGAGCTTTTAGTATATTGAGGCAGCCGATCATTTATCTGCTATACTTATAACAAATATTTTTCCTACTAAGTCATTTATCTTTTTTTTTATTTACCAAACATTTCCTTTCGTATGTGGTCAAATCTATCAATGTTGTCTTGTTTTGTGATTGATGTCGTGATTAAAAAACTTCCTCTATCACTAGATAATATAAATATTTATGAGTATTCTTAATAGTGAGCTTAGAATAAGAGAGAACTTTGGGATTATATAGTTATTGTATCCAATTCCAGCTCTGCCATTAACTAACAGAGATTAGTAACATTGCATCTTCCAAAGACGCTGCAACAACAGCTCCCATCCCACAAGCTCTTCTACAACTTTGCTATTCTCCAATCAAATAGTGGAACCTGGCCAGTGTGTGACTCACTTGCAACCAATAGAATATAGCAGAAGTGATGATGCATGACTTCTAAGGCTAGACTGTGAAACGTGATGCACAATGTGAATCCCAAATGTGATTCTGCCTTGTTAGAATTCATGCCTTGAGAACCCTAAGCTTCTGTGTAAGAAATCTGGGACCTCCATGCTGTAAAGGGGGCCAAATCACATGGAGAGTGCATACGTAGGTGTGCTGACCAGCAACTCTAGGTGACATCACAACTTATACCAGCATCAACTGCAAAGACACGTGCATGAAGACACCTCTGAATGATTACAGTCTCCAGCTTTCAAATTACTCCAGCCTTTGAGGTCTCAGACATCATGGAGCAGAAGCAAGCCATCCCCACTGTCTACTTTCTGAATTCCTGACCCACGGTACTAGTGAATACATTTTTTATTTTTATTTTTTTGCTGAGGAAGATTTGCCCTGAGCTAACATCCATGGCAATCTTCTTCTATTTTGTATGTGGGTTGCCACCACAACATGGCCACCAAACCAAACCCAGGCAGCCAAAGTGGAGTGTGCCAAACTTAACCACTAAGCCACAGGGCTGGCCTCCACAATAATTTTTTTGTGCAGAAATAATAACTGAAAAACTGTGTGATACTTGTCAAGTTATTCTACTTGTCTATACTTGTCAAGTTACCCAATTAGCCTCTGCATGACCAGTCTGGTCTTCAGATTTCTCACCTATTAATTGTCTTACAATAACAGCTACTTCATAGGAAGTTGTGAAGATTAAACAAGATCATAAACAAAAATTACTTAACATTTGCCTAACACACACTAACAGGTCATACAATAAGAGCCACAACAATATTAAAAAATTAAAGTTTTTAGTTTGTTTATTACATTTAAATCTTTAATACATGCAAAATTTACTTTGGTTTAATGTGTAAGGTTGTATGAATTACTTACTTGTCAACTCCAAATTAACACTTAGATTAGTAGCCAATTTCTTGTCTTTAAAAAGATGTGTGAAGAAACAATTTCTTGTACAACTATGTGAATATGTGAAAGAGGAGTACATGCATACTGGAGAATTGGTACTTGGTGTGCTATCATGTGGGTAAAGAAATTTTCACCTAGGTCTTATTCTGCTCATTTGTTCAAGTTGGAAAGTGGAACTAGGAAGAATATCCCAAGATGGAGTAAACCAAAGGAAAATACTCTCTAAGATTAGAGCAACTTTACCTAGGCAGTAGGAAAGCCTAATAAGAAAGATTCTCCTTATTCATGAGGAGTTAGTTTACACACTACACACACCATCCTCAGAGGTGCCAATTGTTTAATTTCATTTTCTAACCAAACCTCATCACGTTTAGAGCTCCATGATCAGTGATGATGGAAAACACTTGGCCTTCTCAGCTTAAAATTTAAAGGAGGAATAAAGAGAACAAGGGTAGTCAGGGAAGGGGGGCAGAATGTTAACAAGAATATGCTCTCAGCTGGAGATCGGCTTATTTGGAAAACCTCTGGAGCACAAATTGCATCACAGACTTAGTCCCACCTCAATGCAAGGAATCAGCCATTCATTGGCTGAGGTCTGTGCTCCAGCTGGGAGCTTAGCTTCTGGGCAAGGCAGCTCCCATTTGTCAGAAGGCAAATCTCCAGAGAAGTAAATAGCTGTGAGTTGTTATAAGCCAACACTCAACGCAGCTGAATGGCAGATGCACTGATCAGCAAAGAGGATTCGGGCAGCCCCCCCAAATCAAATCAAAATCATCCACTACATAAAATAAAATTAAATGTCCTGATGCTGAGAATGCCAATGTTTCCTCTTGAAACATCAAGGAAAGGTTTTACAATTAGAACTTTCTTCCTGTTCAACAAAGCCAAGTTTGTCTAAACATTGACTCACAAATATTTTTAAGGTCTATTTTGAAATTCAATGGAAAACAATGATCTCTTTTTTTTCTAGATTGACATCTCCCATTTCCATGATTCAATGGATAAGAGAGCCCATAGACAACTAAACATAAAAAAATAACAATATGTCATTTCTTTAATTCAAAATATCTGTGTTACATTGTCTTTTCCAAACTGCTTTTCTTTATTGAAAAAGTTGTCGTCATGTCTTTCTTCATCTTGGCTCTGTAAAATCCCAATTGAGGATTCCTCAGAAAGAATTATATTCTCAGACACAGACAAGGACAAGAGTATAACAAACCACGCAGGTAGAGGGGTGATTGGTTTATTGTAAGAATTTCATATGACATAATAAGGGAGAAGAAGCTCATGGAAACCCAGGGACCGGGAACTGCAGTAGGCCTCACAAGGAGAGAAATGCCAAGGTTATTCTGTATCAAAGGAAGCTTCACCACCTTGGCTCAGGTGTGCTGTTCTACCAGCAATTTTACTCAGTTTCTCTCTGCCTATTTGTTTTACCCAGTGTCTGCATGCTTCTCTTCCCACCACTATCACCTTCTGTTCTCTCTGACCTTCTGTTTACTCATAACTTCATCTCATATAGGACAATTTGTAACTAGAACCCTGCCTCATGGCATCTCTACACATTCTTTTATCTTCAATTACCATGCCACCTGCTTTATTATTAACATTTTGTTCTCATTCTTATGAGAAGAAACTGACTAAACATCCTTGCACATGGTCTCCATTCCCAGTTCAATCACGTGATACCCAGCTATCTGGCCAGCCACAGCCATGATAAATCAAGCCAATTCCACGCACACCAAATTGCCTCTCAAATTTTAGTTTCAACAAACCGAAATGCCCTTAAAATTTTCCTTGATGCCTCATCCCTATGCCTGCCCAGTTTTTTCTGGCCAGGGATTCCACCTAAGAGCTCTATCAGAGAAAGATGTGGCTCATGTTGCCAGCAAATTAGGAAGCTAGAGTCAGTCCCCTTTTACCTCCGTAACCCTCGTGAAAAAGGAGAGTGCCAGGAGGTGTCAGGGCTAATCGAAAGAGAATCCCAACCCAGAGGAGTGGGTATGGAAGAGGACAAAATATGGTCCAAGCTTGGGATTATTTTGACCCAAGTCTTTGCATTTCCATAAAGGAGATAATAAATAACCAATTCTAAACCCAACCCCATTCTCGGCAGCACCACCATAAGGAAACCAAAACCCCCTGACAGATGTGAGCAACAGGGATTTGCAAAAATTCAGTCCAGTGCTCCATCATTAATAAGACTCAGCTACTCTCCACTGTTTCTTCTTACAACTACTACTCTTTTTGCTACCACCTGGCTTTCTCATTCCCTATCGTTGGTTAGAAGAGAGCAAAATACAGATTTGGAGGAAGAGACAAAGGGAGCGGTGAGTTGAAGAATGACACAAAATCCAGGAGAGATGCAGAACTAGGCTCCCTCAGGGAGATTGCAATAGTCACTATGTTTGCAACAGATGAGCTCTGTCCTCCTTTCAAAACCCAAGAAGTTGATGTCCTCACATTTGGTCATACATGACAGCTTTGAATAAAAATACATACTCCGCCCTGAGGAGGGGAAAGAGAGGGAATACAACTGTAACGACTGTTTCCTCCTACCATATACCTAGGAACAACCTCTCTTCAGAGCCCCACCAACCTTTCTCCAGGCCCAAATGAGCAACAAGGCTGAGTCTGCTAATCACTGACCCAGAGATTTTATTCCCTAACTGATAAGAGCCACCCACCTTTCCTTCACTAGACATTGTCTTAAGGAAGTCCATCATTGCCGTCTCGTCTACAGGACCACCTCATCCTTACCCATCCCACTCACCCATGCACTCGAGGGCAAAAGAACACCACTGCCTCTAAGGCAAGAAAGTTGCTATTTGCCAGTCCCTCTATATCCCACGCTACCTTTTCTTGTAAGTATGTAAATGTTCTCAATAGCACAGGACTGTTGGTACCCCAGGCTGCAGGACTTCATGATGTCATAGCATAACCCGAGATGAAATTTTTTACATTTATAACATGTTTTTGAAGGCTCTGCCAGAAAAAGAAAAAGATCCTTAAAGGATGCAGTCTGGAGAAGGTTCTCCAGGCCTGGGGGCTTCTCCACAGGAACTTCCATAGCCTAGTGGCTCCTAACCTTTCTCGGGTGGTTGACTCCTTTGATAATCTTGTGAAAGATAACTTGTACAGACATAAATCAATTTTGTATATGATTTCAAAAGGTCAGAATTCCTGTAAAATTTATCTATGGACCCCAAGTAATGAAACCCTTATCTAGCCTGATGGTTTTATCCTGTAATAAGGAAAAAAGAGCAAAAGGAATTTTAGCCTTCTTACTTCAAAAAATGGACTAAATTGGTCTGGGAAAAGACAAAACTCCTAGGATTTTATGGCAAGACTGGATTACAGCCCTCTCTGAAGACAGAGGGGAGGTCTTATTCCTAAACATGTCACTGATGACCTCTTTACCCAGGACTTTAGACTAGCCATGGTCATACCTGTCAGATGTTTGTGAAATTCACCTGTGAAAAGAAGAAAAGTCTTCCTTGTCATAATCTTACATACATCTGCCAAAGCCCCAAGAGCCGATTTTGGAAATTTCTCCTCCCCCAGCATCTGCCCATCTCTTAACCAAGAACCAGCATCCTCTCGCGCTCTAGGACTTACCCTTATTCACGCCGAACAGAAAGACTATGCCCAGCAGAGACAGAGCAAACATCCTGGAATGTTTGTCATGTGCAATTTCCTGTGGAAGGTGCTGGTTATCTCCTCTGGTGATCTGTCTTTGGGCTATTCACCTAAATCATATGATCATAACATGTCAGGGACAGACAGTACCTCAATGTTCCCAGAACTAAGCAACCAACTGGAGTCTCACTACCTCGAAGGCATCTGTTTTAAAATCTTCCTCAATGATCAGCCCAAATCTCTCTGTCTGTCTGTCTGTCTGTCTGTCTCTCTCTCTCTGTCTCTCTCTCTAAATATATATATACACATATACACACACAGGACATACGTAAACTCTATTCATTGTGGTATAGTTAAGCCTTGTACTCTGTAAGAAAAGTCAAATTTCTCTCCCACATTTTAACCTTTTAGATATTTTAAGATGGGATTTGGACACCTCAGCTCCTTTTAGCAGTCTTCACTAACCTAGTCACTATTCTCAGAATAATCTCAGACTTGTCTTTGCCTCATTTAGACTGAGGCACCAGGAGCTAAACACAGGCTTCCAGGTATGGTCTGTATGTGGGCAAGCATTGGAGTGCCCCTTCCATGGTGTAGGAAAGGGAAGTTTCAAGAAAAACGTGAGCAGAGGTGAAATTTATCTAGTTTGCCTTCAGGTGTTATTAACTGATTGATTTTTTAAATTAAATAATTACTAAACAGATACCAAATGCCAATATCACATGAAGAGACGATGCCAAGCAAACCAGGACACTAATTAGTGTCCTCACAGAGGTCTGAGTCTAGTTAAGGAGACCATAAGTACATCAAGCACAGTTGGCCAAGGGGCCCTAGATGAGAGATATTCAAATTTGACTGCCTGATCAGGGAAGCTTCGTTAAAGAATGGATCGTTGAATGGGACATAGAAGGCTGGAAGTGTGTTACCTAGAAGAAGTGACTAGGGACAGGCACCCGAAGGAAGAGCAAATAAAGTACAGAGATGTCAAACAACCTAACACACTGTGATGAGAGCAGGTCATGTGGTTAGAGACATGGGTGAGCAAGAAACTCAAGCACAGAGAGATGCATCTTGTTGGAGGTGATGGCAAATGAGTAGAGAGAGGGGCTCAAGGGGGCAATGCACTGGTCTTGCTGTTGAAATTAGTTTTTCCCAAGCATATAAAATGGAATGCCTTCCCCATTATTGTGCACTTGCACGATGTCAATGAAAAGAATCATTTTCCCAGGATTGGGAAAGATGTTACAGTACCCACTCCTCTTCACCAAAACTGAATTCTAGAAAGGACACCTCCTTTTATCCCAAACTTAAGTTTGCTACACATATGGGTTCAAATCCTGGCTCTGCTGCTCACCAATTATGTGACTTTGGGTGAGTTACTAGTATTGAGAATAATTTCCATATCTCATAGGATTGGTACTAGTATTATATTGAAGTCTGTGAAAGGAGAAAGCTCATATTTGTTAAGACCTTGGAAACTATCAAGCACTAACTACCTGTGCAGTGCTTACAATTTCAGGAGCAACCTGGACCCTTTTGCCATGGTTGGCATCAGAATCTTCAATCACAAGGAGCCACATAGGGCAGCTGACTATGAGAGGCAGTAAGGTAGTGGCTGTAGCTGTGATTTTGGCATTGAAGAGGCAAGAGTGTGGCTGTGAGGATGGTACCGGGAGCATCCTGTCAAGGGTCAACTTTCACCAAGGATCATATTTGGCTTTGGGTGTTGGAAAAGGTGGGAAGATTTATAATAGTCTCTTCTACAATGGACTTTGAAGACAGAAAGTCAGATTCAGAACACACTGTCTAATTTGCCTTGGGTGGGTGAGCAGCTGGGAACTAGCTGAGCTCTGATTCACTGAGATTGGGTGAGAATTAGGTCCTATTCTCAGAGCTCAAGATATGATCCACGTGCCGATGACGCCAAATTTTATATCTCTACCTATGACTTCTATTTTGAGTTCCAGACTCATATCTACAAATACTCAGTCCACTTTAGATGGCTCACAAGTACCACAATTTCAGAATGTCTCAATATGTAATTGTAGTCTTCCTAATTCACTAAAGCTGCTCCTACATAAGTGTATAGGGTCTTAATAAAACTGGGAATCATTCTTGAAAGATCCCTGTGCCCCACTCTCAAAGAGAATCTAACAGCAAGTCTTACCCATTCTACCTACTAACTTCTCCTCACATGGGTTTATTTTTCTCTATCTCCACTGCCACTTCTGTAACCCAATCCATCATTATCTCTTGCCTGGACCAAGCAGTAGCCTTGTTTTTTTGGCCTCCCTGCTTCTACTCTTGCCCCTTTAGAGTTGGGTCTCCACAAATCACTCAGAGAACAATTTTATGGGTCAAAGACGTCACAGTCCTGGTCAGAACCCTTCAATGACTTTTCATTGCACTTAGGAGAAAATCCAAAGCTCTTCCTATAGTCTGCAAAGTCTCCCCCAATCTGAGCAAGGGCCACCTTTCCAATCTCATTTCCAACCACATTCTCCTGTGCTAGTCATGAATACTGATGGATGTAATATTACCATCTGGATTTGGGGGGTTTCTTTCTCTCTAATAGTAATCAGCTAGAAAAATGATCATCTCCTATTCAACTTTTGGTCAATGGTGATGACGCAATCTTGTTGAAGTTATTTCACAAACTGAAACTCTGCATAGGCTGCTTCACCATCCAGGTTAGGAAATAGGACTTTGCCAGCCACCCCTGAAGTCTCTCCACATGGCCCATCACAGTCACAGTCCTTTCCCTCACACCAAATGTATCCACTATTCTGAATTTTGTAGTAATCACTTCTTTCTGTTTCTTTATGATTTTTATCTCCCAAATATGTATCCTCAGACTCTATAGCTTAATCCCACTCAGGTTTTTTTTTAATTTGGTATGTTTTGAAGTCTCTTTTAAATTGCAGCTTCCAATGTATCTATTGAAAAATCAAGGCTATTTGCTGTGTAGAATTTCCCACAGGCCATCTCCTGATGATTGTACACTCATGGTTCAGTTGAACACGTTTCTGTGTTCACGTATTTCCCAAAGCCCAAAACTAGATCCACAGGTTTGATCAGACTCAGCTTCAGTCCCTTTAGAAAAACAATAGGTGATGCTGTATTTGTTAATCAAGGGACAGATAGTCTAGCTTTTCTCTCTCTTTGTGATGTTAGCAGCCATATATGCTTATTATTTAGATCCGTTAATTCATTAGGTTTTCAAAATGGTGATATTTGATCTATCAACTCATTTTCATTTGTTAGCTGGAATAATTTTATAAAGAGATACTTTCCTTATCTATATTTGGTTACCCAGTGGTTTCATTCATATGACTCCCCTGTTACCTTCCAAAGGTAACCAATTTTTTAAATATCATTTTGAATCATGAATTCAGAGACATTTTATCATTTTCAATATGCTAAATTTCTTATCCTTATCGAAGGTCAAATTATCCCATTTTTCTGGGAGCCATTTTAAGTTGCCTCCTGAATCTATTTGACATGTCCCTAGTACTATTTGGTAACTACCTTTTTATGTAGTATGCAAAGATGTTCCAGAAATCTTGTATATTTCCTTCCACAAACTTGAAATTCAAGAAATCCTGTTCTCTTGTAATCAGAAATGGTGTTTCAGGACCAGAATCTTCTTGCCTCTGAATTAGTCATTGTTCCTAGGATTTTACAGGGAATAAATAGACAGATAAATAGATGACAAATACCCTGTGAGTAGCAACTGATATTTCCAATTCAAATACAGGGCTACAAAGTTTTCACTTAACTTCTTTTATTCTATAACTGTATCTCCTTTGTTTCACACTGAGGATTCTGGTTCTCAAAGTCACAGAATTAGAATAAAGTAAAATTAGAATTATACATAATATATATATAACAGAAAGTCGTATACAGATACGGATTACAATACTGCCAAATGTAGAATAGAATAAAATTAGAATTGAATAGAATTAGAATACCCCATAATGAAACATTTGTTTTATCCCACATTGCACACAAAACAGTCTCATTGTAACAATATTAAGACTACCACTACTAATTATGGTTACTAAAATAGCTCTAAAATTCCTCATATGCTCTCTACTTTCTCAGCCATCACCACTCATTTTTATTGTTGTACTATATCCACATTGTCTGATCCTATAGCCATGACATGCTATACACTCTAGCTTTTACTCTTCATTTAGTCTTTGTTCTACTAGTACATTTATATTTAAACATTACCACCAGTCCATGTGTTGAGGTCTCTCTAGTCATCTTCTGTATCTGAAGCACATTTTTCAATGGATTCTTTAGGAATGGCTTATGGGAACAATAATTCTGAAATGCCTATATGTTGACACTCTTTATGTTCTTTACACTTGAAGGTGAATTTTGCTGAATACAAAATCCTTGGTTCACATTTTATTTCCGCATATA